TGGACTGATCCAATATGGTGGACACTGAAGGGGGGGGCTGAGACACACTTAATATTATCAGCGTTCTGATGGCATTTTAGCCAAAGGATTTTTATCAAAAACATAATTAATGTGCAGAAATAAGGAATGGTTGTATTAACCATACATGTAAACAGAGTTTTATGGGGCCCCCAGGAACTTGGGGCCCTAGGCACCTGCCTAGTGTTGCCTAATGGTAAATCCCCCCATGTCAGTATTAATGCCTCTAAGGCTATGTTGGACCAGGAAAAAATGTTTTTTCACAATTTTCTTATAGAAGCACTTTTTGTTTCTTAATATATTTGGACAAGTTGGTGTTTCTTGTTATTACAATGATATAATTTTTGGAAAAAAAAATATCCATGTTTTTTTAATGTTACAAAGGTAACAAGGTCTTGTCCTTGGCTTGAACTTTTCAACATATTTCACTGAGTGTCCTTTAAAGGGTTAAAACAAAAAAGTTTACCACAGAGTGGACTATAAAATTCAGATTTCTAGATTTTTATTAGCTCAAAAAAAAAAAATCTATTCTAGTAACTGATCATGTTTAGCATACATACCCATATGTGTGAATCCTTCATTTCCAGGATTTATATGACATTATTTCCACTTTCTGTGGGAATAAAAACACAAAAAAAGAAACATATTACACAAGTGACCACTAGGTGGCAGTGTTTCATAAGGTTTCAGCGGACCAGATTAAGGAATTGGATTAAATGGTTTTTACTTTGGTAGAAAGTTGTGATTTTTCCACAGACCCTGACAATAAGATCAATCAGTTTATTTCCAATCCAACACCTGTGTTTCTCCTCCCTCCTCCATGGTTTTTAATCTTCCTCTACTTATTCAAGTCTTTTTGTTTATAATGCATTTTCCCCTCCTCATAAAAGGACAGACCATTGTGTCCTGACTGATGTGCTGGCTCTGATTCATTGAGACAGTTTAGCAGCAAGCTGTGTAAACATCCATTAGTAATTCATGACTTTGTCCACCATCCCCCCGGGCTTCAATTAACCCCTGATATTTGTGTGTTTTTCCTTTCAGACACTCATCCATCTCTCCCTCCTTCTCCAAATGCATTTCATCATCCTTGCTTCCCATATTTTTCTCCATTAATCATTCTCTTTGGGTCACAGAATGCCCATCATTTGGTCCAGAAAAAAACAAAAAACAAAAGGAGGCAAGCAGGTGGTGTTTAGCGATCCTTTACAACATATGCAAATTAAAAACTGCATGAAAAGAAGGGATGAAGCTGCTGGTTTGGACCTGAGGTTTTGCAGGAGGACTAATGTAAAACTTTTATTTATCTTTATACTGAAGAACTTGAATGAAAAAATTAGCTTAGTTGAAACCCTTTCATTTTGTCTCTTATTTAGTTTCTTTAGACTCTACTTAAGGGATTGTTTGGGTCCAGGGGCGGAGCTAGATGGGGTCCAGGGGTGGCCATGGCCACCCTTAGCCAATCATTGGCCACCCCTGCCATTTATTTCCCTCTAATACAGACTGTCAGCAGTAATACTCTCAAGTTAAACATTCAAAACATTTTTTTTTTTTTTTGTGGTTAATTTTTCACATCTATATACTAACATCAAAGATGTTAAATACAGAATTCATGCTCTTTTTCAGAAATAGATTTTGTGTTCTATGGGGTAAAGAGAAAATTATGTGTCTCTGCAAGTCATCTTGTGGTCTTCAGTGAAATCAAAGATAAATAACAATTTTAATTAAAAAATGATCAAATAATCAATTTATGTAGATATTAGGGCTTGTAAATATCAATTTTATGCAGAATTTTTATTGATACAAGTAGGTAAGTAATGATAATGATTAAATTATGCCCCAGAACTCAAAACTGAGTTTTATTCACTATACCTTTTATCTAGAAATTACAGATTTTGAAATATATGCATCTATTTGTTAGCAAAGGCTGCAGGAAAGTATAGTTAGTCTTTATTTAGAAAATATGGATGTTTTGCTTGTTCATTTTTCCTGTTGGAACAGAGTACATTGACCCGGAGGTTCTGGTGCCAATCCGCTTTCGGCCCCCCCTCAGTCTACAGTGGTTATTGCCTGGCCACCCTTATAAAAACTCTCTGGCTACGCCTCTGTTTGGGTCATAACCAATTATTGCTTCACGAGCAGAAGAAATGATTAGTTTTTGTGCTAACTAAGATTAGCGATAGAGGCTTATAAGATTTTGTAACAACTTATTTCGTTTTTTTCCTTCCAGACTAAATGTTTTTACGGATCATTCATACTGACTCTTCTGTTTAAAAGGAGTTGTTCCTCTCCACTGTCACCTCATGCTTGTTTGGATGAGGAAATGATGCAAAGTTGATGATTTTATACAACCAGCCATACTATCTTAGATTACTTTTTTCTAAATACCATAAAATATAACCGAATAGGGTTTGTATTTCAACATAATCTGGACTCAATTGTATGTAATTCTGTCAAAATACTTTATTTATCCTAAAGGGAAATTCAGTAATCAGGAATTGGGCTGTTTGACTGGATTCCAATGGAATCATATGGACTAAGTTTGGGTTAATCTATTTCATATAACTAGATGTGAAATTCAAGCTATTTTTTATCCAAAATTATATGATCTGCTTAATTTAATGCATTAAAAAGCCCTAAAAATTAGGACGAATATCAAAAGGTATTACGATAAGTTTTACTTTCATCTGAAAAGTATCTTTGTTTAGTGTTTGTAAACTGCTATAACTGGAACGTAAAATATCAGACTGTTTTTACCTTAAAATGAAAGACATAAATGAAATAAATATCTGTTTTAGTAGAAAAGAATGATTTTATTCCCCTGTTGTTTTCTCCGACTCTAAAGATCGATCTAAGAGCTCTCTGATGTTGTCTTGCTTCTATCCATTATTCAGTTATTGAACACAGCTCATTTATTTTTTACTTTCTGCTCAAACAGAAAAAAAAAACAATTTTTTAGCTGCTGCTGAGACAAAAACATTCTTTTGAAACTTGTCCTAATATGAACTCTTGAACAATCAGTGTAAACTGATATATTATAAAGGCAAATAATGTAGATTGTTGTCTTACTTTCTCCCAGCAGATCCTCAGACATCAGATTATCCTGCCGGTTTCCAAGGACAAAAGCCAGGAAGGAGAGGATGAGAGCATCCATGATGCCCATGATGGCCAGGATGTAGGCCCAGCGGACCGAGCAGGCACCCAGGGCGTACTTGTCCGTCTGTTCGCCGCACATCCGCTTCACCTCGTCGCTGTCCCAGCCGTCGGGGTAGATCATGCAGCCCAGAATCAGGCTGGTACCTGAAGCAGGAGGCGAGACAGATGGGTGAGGAGCTAAACAGGCTACCAGGGGAGAAATTGGGCTGGAAACCTGGAAACAGAATCCTGCTCATTAAAAAAAAAACACTCTGCTGCAGCAGGTTGCTTTGCGACAAATACAAGCCTTTAAAAACTTGATTACATTTTATGTCACAGGTATTTATTATGAGTTTATTAATTGGGAAACAAAGCTGTGCATGCTTGAGTGCATGACTTTTTATTCTTTAAAATGTGTGATGTGCATCTACATTAACCAATTCATCTTTGTAAAATGGCTGAAATTATATGTAAAGCAGCAAAGTCTTGCTACAGATTCTCTGTTTAATTTACATCTGGACTAGAAATTAAATGATTAAGCAATTATTGTAAATAAGCAACTAATTTAGAAATCAATTCATCGTAATTACTAAAATAGTACAAAAGATATATATATATATATATATATATATTTTGCATTTAAGACTGGTTTCAATTCTGTAAAAATATCTTCTTTAAGGAGGCTTTTGCTACCCGATTATTAATCAATTGATATAAAGGAATAATCAATCTGTAAAATAATTATTTGCAGCCCTAATCTGGACTTTGACTAGGCCATTCTAACAGTAAAATGCTTTAATCTACATCATTTATTGTAGCTCCGGTTGAATTTTTAAGGTCATTCTCCTGCTTGGAGTGAACCACTGTCCCATATGTGGGTTAATACAGGAGTTCACCACAGCATAACGCTGCCACCACCATGTTTCAGCATGGTGATGTTGTGTTCAGGGTGATATACAGCGTTGGATTCCCCCTGTACCTTCCTGCGCGTTAAATCTTTGTGTTCTCTTCATCTCTTGTGGCATACGGTAAACGGTTCAGTCTTACCACGCTTTCATGAAGACATTTTTTTTAAGGTGGACGACAATTATTCTGTCTCTTATCTAAAATATATCACAAGGAAATTATAATATAAATTATAATATAACCGGTTTCAGTGAATTTTATTTTGGGGTATCAGAATATTGTAATATTTACCTTTTTTTTTAGTAAATAATGCTAAATCTAGTGATTTTTAAGTACTTTTGACCCCATTTGAGTTGAATTGTGTCGTTAAATTCTGCTGTCGATGCTCTTAATCTGAGCTGTATTTGCAGATTTTATGTTTATAACTCATTGTAACTTCAAGGAATCAAACTATTTTGGAAAGAGATGGAACACGGCACTTTTATCTTCATGCCTGAGAAAATTTCCTCTGATTGCAGCCTTGGTTTTTTTTAACCTTAAAGAAAAAATTCAGCTGAATTCAGCTAGGCATCAAATAACGTCTTGTTTGTGTCTCAGAGAGGAAAAAAACAAATGGGAAGAAAACAGGGGAGCTGCTGATCAGCAGATATTTAGAAAGTAACGACATGAACGTCCTGCAGAGATAAAATATATCTTTATAAGAGTCTGACCAATTCAATTCAGTTTATTTCCATATCACCAATTCACAACACGTCATCTCAAGACACTTTCCAGTTCACCAGATCAACCAGTCAGATTGATTCAAAGTTTTCTATCTAAGGAAAACCAGTTGATTACATTGACTCAAGTTCAATCCCTCACTCTAAGTATGCTTGTAGCGACAGTGGAGAGGAAAAGCTCCCTTTGAACAGGAAGAAGGATGAAGAGAGCCCATCCAGCCAGTCACAGTCAGAGAAACAGGACTACACTGAAAAACAGGCTGTTCTCCAATATATATAAACAAAGGAGTTGATGGCAGCAGCACAGCTGATATTTCTCTCCAGGATGGAGTCACAGCCAAACAGGAACAGACCAGATGAAGCTACTATGAGAAAAAGCAGAACGTTAGAGATTGAACTAACAGATTCTGCAGAGTGGGAGAATAGAGATAGAAAGATGTAAAATAAACACCTTCCAATGGAGGCAGAGGGGGAAATAGCTTTGGAAGAGAAGACGTGTTGGCAGCAGTTTAGAGACGAGGCAGAGGTGTTGAACGAGGTGTAGAAACAGAACCATGTGTTGACCTACGCTGTCATCACAAGCTGTCTGCGACACTCCTGATCACGACTCCTCCTCATGAGAAATCATCTGTCTGAGGAGGAAACTGCTCCTGTCGGCAGGGAGCCGTTTCCTCACAACAGGACGCATGTTGGACGGGGAAGCTGCTATGCTAAACTTTAGAAGCTTCCTCTATCTTTAGGGACAACGTTTTACACTCTAGAATAGATTTAAAAAGGCTCATTAAATAGGGCTTTTTTTTTAGCGAGAATAACCGAATTCTCTGAGATATCTCTGTAATGTTATTAGAACTAAATGTAACCAATTAGAGCTACAAGCGGCTCTATTTGGCCAGAATCTCTAGAAAATACAGGAAATTTCTCTTTCAAACTGGATTTTTCCATCTCCATTTAATTCCTCTACTATATTTTGTATCAATTAGTTATTAGAATGTTTTAGCTGGTTTTATTTGTTACTATTTTAATGCTTGTTTTAGTTTAGCTGTCATTAATTATAGTACTAGCTTTAATCAATCATCTGTAAGCATTAACACACTAAGCTGCTCTTTATGTTGCATCTTACTGTTTCTCACACTGTTTATAGGACACTCAGTGAAATACGTTGAAAATTAAAATTTCCAGCCAATACTGTTATTGCAATCCAGGACAAGATCATATTACCGTTGTAACATTAAAAAAATATGGATATTTTGATGACAAAAATGTCAACGTAATAACAAGAAATGCCAACTTGCCCGAATTTATTAAGAAAAATAATAAAAGTGCTTCTATAAGAAATTCATGAAAAACACAAAAATGTGAAAGAAAAACGTTTTTTACGTACATTTTTTATTTTTACTTACATTTTTTATTTTTACTTACATTTTTGTTAATTGTTAAGTAGGCTAATTAAGTTTTTTACTTTTCACTTAGCTTTTTACCTTTTTTTTTACTTGACTTACCTTTTTTTTCCAGTATAATTTACAGCAGGTCAAGTATCATTCAATTCTAATTGGTCAAATGCCAAAATAAGATGTTCAGTCATGTAGCAGGATATTTGCTGAATGGCTGGATATAGATCTTGTGCTTCTAGAATAGACTTTAATAGCTGCTCTCACTCTATTTATTTAGGTGTCATTAGACACATGAAACATATCCTTGGTGAGCCCTGCTTTAAAAAGTTTATTTAAAAGTTTCTTTTCTCAAAAAACAAATGAAATAGCAACTCAGCTGCAGCATCATGAAACATATCAACTTTTTAACTAATCAAATGTGCATCAATGAAACTGTAATATGGGCTGGAACCTTGTTTTACCCTTTTGGTAAAATAAAATAATTTTGACTTAAATTGACTCTGTCACCAGCTGACTGTTGTTGTTTTGTAGACCCCGTATCACAGTGACTGATAACTGCTGTATGATCTGGTTGAAATCTCTCTGTAAAGTGCCCTGAGATGTCATGTGTTGTTAATTGGCACTATATAAAAAAACTAAATTGTATTGGATATTGAATGTTTTACCATTTAAAAACAGTAACTTGCCCTATAAATGGTTTTGGATAGGCTTTTAGTAACTGTCATTAATTATAGTACTAGTTTTTATCATCTGTAGACATAAGAATCTAAAAGGTCAGAGTATTGTTTTATGAAATCGTGCATCTAAATAATAAAAATTCTGCAAAAATTTCAAAATCTGGTTCAATTACAGCCGTTCTGTTAGTTTAAGACAACTATAAAATGTTTTCTAAGCTTTCCATCTGGCTTCCTGATGAGACCTTAAACTAAGATATTTGTGAGAAGACTTAACAATCGTCTCACACACCTGCCCTCCATCAAGTCTGACTGACGTTGAGCTGTTTTTTAGAGAAGAATGGGCAAAAGTTAAATTATAAATATATATATACACAATCTCTGTCTGTATAAAGCAAAGGGTTGTTGTGCAAAATGCTCTCCCTCCGGAAGTTACCAATAGAAAATAATCTCTTGGTATAAATCCATGTCTTAACAGCTTTAATTAGCTTAGCTTCCACCCTTTATGCTTATAAGTCTTTTCTTTGGTATTTGAAGTGTCTTTGTAGATAGAAATATTGTAAAATGTGTTTCAGTCCTTGTTATCAGGTGCATAAGCTGTGCAATTCTTGATTAGATCAGGTCCTGAGATTGCATTTTAAAAATGAAAGTAACGACGCGGCTGTGCTTTCAGTCATGCAAGTCGTTCTCTTTATGTGAAACTAAATTTCTCTTTTGTATAAACAACGTTTTCTGTTTTAATAATGATTGAGTAGATCTGGACGTAATCTGAGATGCGTCAATGCGTCATTTCTCTTTTAAAGGTTTGTCTTTCTGAGTTAAATCCAAAAGCTTCAAAGTCTCATAGTGATGAGCAGGAATCATCCCCTCTGGTTCTCCTGTTGCACTGAGCACCTCTTCTGACTCACGGCCCTTCAGAGTACCCCGTCAGGTACTCTTTGATCATGATTTTTTATTAAATGTTGCATTTTTTATGTAAATATTTAAGAGCAAGACCTCTTCTTGGCAAATCAGATCATTATCTTGTTTTTGCTCTGAATATAAAAATGCATTCCATCTAATCTTCAAGTCATACTACACCTTTAATCCCTTTTCCCCCTGAAAGCAAAAAAAAAGCTCCCAAGAAGATAATTTTAGACTTGTACAGAAATTCTGTTGCATCTTTCCATTAATGCATCTTCTCAAACTCATGCAGACTTTTTGTCTCCTGACGGATGCATGTTTCTCTTTTTAACCTTCCTACAGATTTCATGCAGTCTCCTGCACACAGTCCCTGTCATAAATCATGACTTGTGACCGATGTGTCGACTCATTTCAGCTCTTAACACAAGTGATGTGTTCAGATTGGACAGCCTTAAACCCGAAGGTAATGTTAGGTTCAAAAATGTAGGTTCGTAAAAGAGGAACTGAGTCGACACAGAAGAGGGATTTTTAACAGCTTCTGCAGAAGGAGAGAGTTACATTCAGCTACATCT